AATAATGCCAATTATAAACACTATGAAAACAACGACAGGTCTTGAATTTATACTGAACATAATTTATAATAATAAGCAATTTTGTAAACCCAACGTCCAAAATTTATTTTACAGCCTTTTAAGTCTTTTAGGCCTTTAAATAATAATAGAATATAATAACACAATAACTGTTTCTCGCCAGAAGGGGGCAGTATATTATTATTTGTCGATGCCATACGTTTTGTTTTTTGTTTGGTTTTTTTTAACAGGTAACAGGTTGTTCGTTAGCAACCCAACCAGTTACAAAGGTAAACACAGCAGACAAAATCCTTGTTTACTGCATACAAGTCGTACAAAAGGCGACCAAGGTTTCCTTAGATAATAGTTCTAAAAAGTAGTCCTACGTAAGTTAAAAGCTTTACTAAATCCAGAAAATGCCCTGCATTGTTTTCAAAAATAATAAAACAATGCATTTCATTACATTTCTGTTGTCATTACAAATCACGTTATTAAATACAAAAACATTTCAAACCATTATTTAAAAATCGCTTTTTGGCATAAAAGACTGACAAGTGAACACAAGCAAAGTTTATTTTTTCTCCTTGTGCTAGGCTACTTGTCCAGGAAATGGGAACCACCTCAAGTAATGTAATGTTCCTTGTTCCCAGGATGCCTCCCACTGTGTAACATGGGCACTCGAGCCAGAAGGCACTGACTGCATGTCTTAGTTTCAATACCATGAGCTTTTATAGCTCGTGGGAACTGACTCAGTGCAAGGGTCACTCAAAGAACAATAAGAAATCCTCATTGTGAACATGAGGGAAACAGCACGAGCGCAACATTATTTTTTCTCAAGCAACAAAACAATGATTTAAGATAATGAAATTAAGCACTAAGAGATTGTATTGGAATAGGATCATATGCATCCATTTTAAATATAACTATAATGGCAAACTGACTTTTAATATTGTCAAAAGTCTGGAAGTGATTAAAGATGTTATGAATTAGATATTCTATATGCGAGTACAAAACTAACATGACACTGTACAATATGTTAGCCAACAAAGGTGAGACCAAATGAACACAATTCCTCATATATTAGTTTTATTTTAAAATGTATAAAAGGTAATATTGTTACTGTAGAAACATGTCAGGGGCGTATATGTTCTAAGTTTAACCAAAAAAAAAAATACAGTAGTTTGTCTTCTAAGTCATAGATCATAAAATAACATTCTAGGTAATTTGTAAAGCCTGAGAATTGTGGGTAAAAGTACTTACACTGCTAATTACTACTTTTTATACACTAGTTATTGCACTCATGTCTTCACCAAAAATGAAAAACATAAAACTAGCAATCTGTGGATCACTGATGTTGACTGTACAACAGAGAGGATGCCTTTGATCTAAACAGTCGACATTTTCTCACGCATAATTTGCAGTATTAGAGATGCCATCCAGTTTTTGCAATATCATTGATCTCAGTGCACTGTATCTGTGAAAAACAAAAGTACAACGCAGATTAAAATGAATACATTGTTGTTTTGTTATAGGAACACAGATATTTGTGAAACTTACTTTCTTGTTAGTTTTAAAATCTCTCGCTCTTCCTCCTCTTTCAGTTTCTTGATGAAACTGCCCAAAACAGGCATTTCAAACTTAATATACTGTGCAACCTGTAAGACAATGCATTATTGCATTAACCACTGAGATATAAGCACAGAGTATTCTGAATATTAACAATAATATCACAGAGAACCTGCACATATGCATCAACATTTTCATATTACAACGAATGTTGAGACTGCAATAGAAATATTTGTACTATTGTTAGTCCCCAGGATAGGATCCTAAAATTAGACTTGATATGTAGCATCTGGAAGTGACATTATTGTTTACTGTGTCTATATTTGAACAACAGAATGTTAGTTTGCCAGGGGAAGCACATTCTGAATGACCTATTGTGAACTTTAAAATGTACAAAATACTCACATCATACGTAATCTCTTCACCAAGGTCCTTTTCCATAATAAATATTCGGGCGATTTTTTCGCATGGACCATGCAACAGACGAGATACCAAAGGATATTCTGTGTCCTTAAGTTTTGCTCTCTCTAAAGACAAAAGATGGGGAAAAATATAATAATTATAATCTGCAGATCAGTTGACTCTTCTTAAAAATAAGGTAAAGTTAAGAATGAAAAGGCTCACCCCCTGATTCATGGACTAGGTAGAGGCCAAACTCATCTGCCTTATTCTCAACCTGTACAGAACAGGGAATTAACAACAAGTAAAAGATTGTAGTATTCAGCTGAATAAGGGAAAACGTACCCGAAACTTATTAAGGAGTAGGTTAAGAACTTGCTGTGTTGTCAAAGTGCTGTTCACTCGCACATTAGTCACCGATCCATATGACGGAGTAAAAACTGATGTCTGTAAAAAAAGGAGATAAATTTCAGCGATAATTAATTGTGTAATATTTCTTAAATGATGTGGCAAAAAAAATTAGTGTAAAATTTGGCAAATGAGATTTGGGAAAAAATAATATAAGCTACAATAAAATGTATATAATGTTCTTACTATGACAGGTAATATAATCTGTGGTCATCAATTTATCTTTGTCAACAGACAATTGTTTCATTCAGATAAGGAAGTAGTAGACACTTTTGTTCACAATAAAGTAACAATAAATTATAGTGTACAATTGCTGTAAAAACCATAACAAAAAAGGAAACAAGAGCAGCAATAAAATAAACAATTGTAGAATTAAAATAAAATATACAAAAAAAACTTAAACCTATTTTATTTCAGCTAGTTGCCAAAGCAACATTTCTTATTTCATTCAGTTTAACTTATACATATAAAAAAAACAATAACTAATAAAAATGAGAAAACAAAACAAAAATACTAAAACGAATTAAAATGAAAGCAGAATATCTATCTATCTATCGAAGCACCAAGCCAACTCATATGACCTTTAAGGACCATTTATGAGAGAGAGGCAGGTGACACTCGATAATAAAAGCACATGGTGCAGCCGAGGGGAAGGCCTGCACAGGAAAACACTGCCTCTCAACACCTGCATCCATCTCACAACACTGATGTACAACATAAACACTTAGACGACGGACACTTCCTGTCACAGATGCTGCTGTGGCACTTTATGAGAGCACAGGCCCCTTGCCAGGCACAAGGCGTGCTGTCTTTCACTGAGCACTATTGTACTATTGTCCTGAACTTGGAGCATGGAGGAGTTCCAACTCATCCCTGCCTTCCATCTGAGACGCTGCACTGCTGATCTCTAGGTGAAAGCTTTATAGTTCAAGTTCAAGTGCACTAAGGTTAACTGTGCTTTTTTTATTACATTAAAGAAAAAAACGTCTTAACACAAAAGTTTTGTTTAAATTACTTTGTGGTTGTAAAAATGGCCGTTGATGGAGAAGCGGTGTCTTTTTATCCTCTGTGAATCGGCAGTGTTGTGGATTTTGGATCTTCTTTGGAAATTCACAAAGCTTGCGTCACTTCTCGTTCTCAGCAGTTGAGGGATGTCCTCCTCAGCTCCATCCACACCTGCAGCAGAACAGCAACCAGAGACAAGTGCAGGCTAATATTAAGATGAGGCATTCAATGATGTGTTGGAAATGTGGTGAACATCTAGATATGCATTTAGTTCAGTTAAAACTTCTAATCTATAACAACCACAAATGTTGTCCATTTTCCAACACGAATCAATAACATTTTTGATAAGATTTTCCTAACTGTGTGTGGAATGATATGGATCATTTTCATACTCACTGGGTATAGGTGAGGCACTGATTTTGTTGTTGTTGGGTTCTGAACAAAACTGGTGTTCAGCAGTTTCATTTCTGTAAACAATAACCACATAACTAAAATACATAATGGAAGCTTCATAAAAATAGTTTTCGTGGAAGAAAACATTACATTTAGTTATTCCATCTCAAGAGACCATACTACATATTATGAGTTGTATTGTTATTTAAATGAAGTTTGGAAACTTTGAAATTAAATTTTTGTTATTAATATTTGGGACATGTTACTAAACATTTGTGATTTTATTTTCTAGCAATAAGCTTTACTGATCTTACACAAGCATCTGATTTCACGCTTTTTAGATATCATACAATATTTTAATACAAAATTTATAATTTTCTCTATCTTTTTATATATTATTCATGGAAAGTGCCAACTAGTTTTGCTTTTTATATTTTATACTTTTAGTATAAAGTTTTAGTGATTTTCTTTTGTGTTTGTGTTATTTTAAAAGTTTTGGGTTTTTTATGTCTATATTTTTTTTCTCAATTTAAACTACATGAATTTTTTTTAATATATTTTATTTTATTTTATGTAATAAAAATGTTTTATTTATTATGTTTTAGTTTTACATTTAGTTAACAACAATAACCCTAAAGTGCCAACAATGAACTAATGAATTCAATTATTTACTCATGTAAATAATTTTGACTTTAACTTGATTGATTTTCTATTAAAAAGAGTAACTGGAAACTTTCATTGGAATAAGAAACATCTGATTACTCTGACTTATCTGTTGTTGCTATACAATAACACAATCACAATGACAATCTTTTTATGCTCACGTGCTGAATCTTCTTGCTCACAGTATCAAATCAAGGTCACTGCAGCTTTCAACATTAGAGCTGATTAAAATTTCCATGATTCAGAAGACTACTGCACGTGAGAATAAGTAGCAGCCCAGGACTCTGAATAACCAGTTGCTCTGTTGGTGAAAGATCAACACCACATAACCGCAGTTTTCACCCAGTTTCACCCATGTGTCATAATGTTCCTCAAAACAAAACTTTCTAATAATGACCTTGACCACGCCATCAACCTCTTTACAGAAGTCCATCAAATTTCAAAGTAATAATTTGTTGGCTTTTTAAGAAAGGTACACAGCATTCTACAGTATGATCAAATCTGAGCTGACTGAGAATGATAAAGGAGCAGCCATTTAACCATAAAAAGCTGTACACACTTGTCAAATCCTGGCCCATGCCTGAAGACGTCTATGACTGAGTTAATGAGAGAAACAGATGGAGTTATGACCTAATGAAGGAAAGGACACATCTGGGGGTGGTGTAGCAACAGCATTCAGGCGGTTCCACCCACCTGCTGGATTCTGAGCTCTCCGATCTCCACGCACTCATGCAGGCATAGCGAAAGCGCTCGTTGTCATCGTGCATTTGCAGTCTGATTGGCCTCCTCAGGCCCCAGGAGATGTTGAGTAAACCCTCCACGATCAGCTCGCCCTCTTCCTGCAAGAAACAATAATAATAATCATTAACTCCTTTGTCAGATGGAGGAAATCCTGCTGGCTCATGTCTCAGCTCTGTTTCAAGTGTACGTGCTGGAGAGGCAGTTGTAAACCGCAGATATTCAATTGGAGGCGGCGAAGTTATGGAAAGTCACTTTGGGAGGAGTACAATACAGCACACATACTAGATGTATTATTCGAGAGTTTGATTCTGAACAATAATGTGCTTTCAATTCAGTAATATTCACTGTCAGTTAATATATATATATATTAATCGCGCTCAGAAGTGCTAAATGAAAATGTTACAGTGCTGTAATAGGCCACAGTCAGCACAAAAGGAAATATACTTACATTGTCTAATCAAATTGACAAGACATATGACAATCGACTACTGGCTCCAAGGCTTGGAGTTGTTTTTTGAAAGAAGTCTTTGATAAAAAATGCAGTATAAATATTAATATTGTAAAATTTTTGTACACTTTAAAGCACTGACGGTTTTCTATTTTTGATATATTTTAAAATGCAGTTTATACTTGTGATGGCAAAGTGATCCTTCAGAAATCATTCTAATATGCTGTTTCGGTGCTCAAGAAACATGTCTTGTTGTTGTTAACACTGTTGAAAACTGTTGTGCTGCTTAATATTTTTATGGAAACCATGATAGATTTTTCAGGATTATTTTCTGTTTATTTGAACAAAGTTCAAATAAACAGCACTTCAAATAGAAATCTTTAGTTACATTATGAATATCTTCACTATCACTTTTGATCAATTTAATGCATCTTTCTCAAATAAATGTTTTAATTTCTTAAAAAAAAAAAAAGCATACTCCTTTGAATGGCAACACCCTGACGTTCTGCGCTATTTGGAAATTACATTAATAAATTTGATTAAATAATAGACAATAAAAGTAATGTCTATCAAATGTATTATTAAAAATGTATGAGATAGATATACAGATAGATAGACAGTATGATCCTTTCAAGCAGAAACGTGCCACTTAATCAGTCTTAATCCTATCAAGGCCTAAATCAACAAAGTAGACAAGTCTCTTCCGTTCGCATACAGAGCACGATACTGTCTTGACAGAGCTAAATATACCACAGAGATTAAACCGCAAGGTTTCATTCAGGACAGCTGCTTAAAATAACTAGTTGTAGCAGTGTTCACAACCTTCTGATGGTTGAGGAGAGACCCCCCATATGATTATAAAGCGCGTTGGGTGTACAACAATACACAATAAAGCGCTATATAAATGCATCATTCATTCATTCCAACGTGATCTCATGATAATTCGTATGTATTTTACGTAAAATGTGGTTCTATAAAACGTACATTTACTTACGTTTTTACAGGCACTAAAACGTACAATACTGACGTATTTTCAGCATCTAAACGTACAAAACTGACGTATTGACACCTAAAAATGAATCCTTATGAATATTGAAATCGCGGCATTAATTTGATTAGTTTTTAGTTGTCATATGAATTACCTTGTTTTCAATTGCATTATTAAATTGTTTAACGTTACTCATTTACTTATGAAATTATAACATTTCGTTTTGTTGTGATTTCTGCTGCCAGCTCGTTTCCAAGAATATGCCTACATAATGTTAAACACGACTTCACTTTAAACCTTAAAATAAATAAATTTTCTACAATCGTTTAACCTTTACTTGTCATGTAATGTTTACTTTGATTGCCATAGGCCACAAAAGGCGTTTTCTCCGACATGCCAACTGACAATAGAACTATAAAATACGCCAAAAACACAACATAATTACGAAATGAAACAATTTTATTAGTGCGCTGTAATCCAGATCTTCCGAATCCATACGACTGCGAGGAACAGACCCAAATCCAAGCTTTTTCGGCGATCTTCATCTCCATCCCGAGCAGCGAGTCCAACGACAGTGAGCTAGCGATGTCCGGTTCGCGAACGAATCGTTCGATTTAACCGGTTCTTCTTAGTGAACCGGTTGAACCAGTTCACCAAATC